AATCAGACAGGAAGGCTCTTCTCCAGCAGCCTTATGGAGCTGTGCCAGCTGCAGGGCTGGGGTTGGCCTGTAGTGGCCATAGGTAACATCGATGATTTTGTACCTGGGGCTGTCCCCTCTAGGTTAGGGAATGTGGAGTTGTTGGAGATGGAGATGACTTTTGCCAGTGAAAGTTTCTGACTTAATTCTTGATTAGGTCACTCTGTGTCCCATTGCTAAACCCTGTACCTGTTTATGGGGTGCTGGCTTCCCACCTGCTCTAGCAATTGCTCCTTTCCCCTGTGCCAGCAAGGCAGCAGTGGAGCTGCCTGCAATGAGTTTGTAATATTATTTCCAAATGGAAACAGCAGTGGGGTGATGCCATTTACCCTGTCCTCTCACCCCCCCTGTGTCCTCAGACATCAGCTTCTCATGCAAAAAATAGACCTTTTAGCAGAGAGGGAGGTTGCAAATGTTTTTCTAGGGAAGCCCACTCAGACCCAGAGCTGATTCCTGGCTGCCTGTCCTGTTGCACCCCAACTCAGCAGATAGCTCCAGCTTCTCTGCTGGGCAGGCATCTCTCCAAGACTCTCCACCTCTCTTGTTCATCCCCAGGCACAGTATTCCCTGCAGCACCCTCCAGGGCAGGGCTGAGCTCCCAATGCAGGCACCGGCTCCAGGGGAAGCCTCAGTTTGCACAGCTTGATGTAGGTATCACTGCTTACAGGAACCAAATGACTCCATCTGTCTGGCTGGCTTGCTCTGGTTTTAATAGTAAAATGCTGAAGGATGCTGAGGATGACTCTGGCCAGGCTGAGATGTCTGGCGGGGCAGCTGCTTCATGGTGCAGAGGAAGGTTTTTAGTAAAGATGTGAGAGAAAGCAGGGCTGGAAGGACCAAACCTGCAGAAGCAGCAGAACATGGAGAGGTGGATTGAAGTGGGGGATCAGCTGCAGATGAAAGTACCAAATATTAGTAGCTTATTGTAAGCAATTGGAGGGCAAGTGCTCCAAACAGAGATCTGTTTTGCCACAAAAGCACTGTGAAGCACCTCGTAAGTAATGCAGAAGTATAAGTGTAAATATGAATAACATAAATATATTGCACTGGACACAGATCTGAGGCCAGTCATCCCAGGAGAACATGTCCGGGGGGAGATGATTTAAGCTACTGCCGCATTGCTTGTCCACCATCCCTCCTGAGGGCCAACTCTCCCTCCCCCTCAGGCCCAAGAATTCACTCTCCCTGGGGTTTTTGCCTATGTGAGCAGCTGAGTGCCAAAGCCAGGGGCTCCCATGCTGATGCCCAGTGCCAGATCTGCTCCCACCTGCCCATAGCACAGTTAGCTCAGCATGTAGGGATAAATACCACTGAGCAGGCAAATGGGTTGGGCCTCAGTGCAGCTGGAGCCTGGTGCCAGCCCATGGGCACGGTGTGGCAGCACCTGCAGGCGGTGGCATGGCCATGGGCACCTTGCACACCCGGGGCAATGCACAAATGCACATTCACGCTCCACCATTGACCAGACACGTAACCCTGAATTCCCAGGAGTTCCCTGGAAGGAATGTTTCACTACTAACGTAAAGAAATTAATTTGAGAAGAGCAATAAGGTGCTGCCTGCTCTCTGCCTGCGGGTGAGCAGAGGGGCCTGGCTGCCTGTTTCACTCTTCGATGGTAACACTTCTGGAAAGAAATGTTAATGCAACCTGAGCATTTTTGGGTGATTTTACTAAGAAAATTACCTTGAGAATAGCTTTATTATTATTAAATTGAATCAGGTATTTACTTAAAGGTCTTGACATCCTTGTAGAAACTGTACAAAACTGTGGTTTTATTTAATGAAAATTTTGTTGCTTGAAACCGGTGTTTCACTCTGGAGCTTGTCCTGAGGCACCGTGTGCATCCCAGCAGTGGGTGTCTTTAACCTAAGTGACCCGTTCAATGTTCAACGCTCAGGTTGAGAAGGAGGGACTTCTATTTGCAGTTTGGTTTTCTGAACAGGTATTGTCTTTATCATCATTTACTTCTTTTATTAATTTTTCTTAAATTCTTGCTGAACACAGCCCAGAGATGCAGTGAAGCATCTTGCCTTGGTAGCAGTAACAGCAGCCCTGGGGGGCTGAGGTGATGACCTCTCTGCCTGCCGAAGAGGAGGAGAAAAGGTGCCCTAAAGTCCCAGTGGGAACACAAAGGTTCAGGACATAACATTCTCCACAGCGGGATGCCTTGCCTTTGCACCTGAGAGGAGGCCCTGGGAAGCCTCAGCCTTTGGCAAGACACAAACATTAACACTGTGGCTCTGCCATGGCCGCAGCAGCAGCCCAGGAGCTGCTCCTGGCTGCCCTGCACCGTGTCCCCTCACCCCACTGGGGAGCAGCAGCCTCATAAATAATTCCTCAGTGTAATGGCAATGTTGTAAAACATGAATATTTAGTGCATGCATAATAGTTGTTTATTCATACTTAAATGTCAGCTGATGAAAACATATTTAAAAGGCTCCATTCCTGAGGAAGCACCAGCAGCCGGAGGACATGGGATGCAAAGTCACACTGTTTCTTGCCACGCTGAAGCCCAGGGGTGCAGTGACAGACCCCTGCACTCTCTGGCTGCATCATGTTCCCATTCCCTGGGTACCAGACCTGCAGGAGCCTGCCCTGTCACGCTCTTAACAGATCCATCTCCCACCAACAGTGGGTTTCGCGTTTGTGCCAGAGCTGAATTAGGCTAAAACTGCCAGTTTCCCTGGTGTGCCTGTGTAGCCCTCACGACCGAGCCCCGGGGACGCCGCTGGGACGGGCTGGGAGGGGTGACACTTGGCAGGACAGGGGTGCTGTGACAGCAGCTGTGGGAATGCAGATGAGGGTGCAGGCAGGCTGTCCCCCCCTCGTCCTGCCAGCCTCCTGCTCGCTCCCGCTCACGAGAGGAAACTCTCAACGCTTGGGAAGGGGGAAAAAAAAAAAAAAGAAAAAAGAGAGAGAAATAAATTATCAGTAAAGTAAAGCAACACAAACTTATGAAGGACAATTTTTTTTTTGCTGTCAATACACACAAAGAGACAAAAATTGGAAGCTTTTGAGGAAAAGAAATGCGTCTGAACTTCTGAGCAAGCGAGAAAGTACTGAAAAGCCCTGCCATGCCGAGCTCCTCTGAGGTAACTTCTGTGCTTGGAAAGAATATTTCAGAAGACATTTTATTCTTTAGAAGATGCCAAAAATGCAAGACTTGGCACTTTAACAAAACAGAAAAAGGAAAACACATAATCTTCTTAACTAGTAAGTCTTTGAGCCCAGGATCACATTGTTGCCATATAATAAAAAGGGATGTTATGCAGTAAATTGGGCAGTTAAGAATTCTGTGCATACTCAAAATCATGACATTTCAAGGACAATAAAGTTGGCTGGCTCGTGGCCATTGGCCATATGAAGAGAAAACAAAAAAACGGATTGTCAGCTGGTTATTCATACCGCATTACAAAACAAGCCTCCCAACAGGCAAACACTCTTTATTGCTTGTGTTTTTGCTCCAGAAATATATTTTTTAATTAAAAAAAAAAAAAGAAAGAGTTCTTGCAGCATTCATCTTACAAATGTTAACCCCTTAAAAGACAATTCTGACATGCTTTGCCGCTGGCTTTTCCACTTTATAAATGTTCTACAGACGAGGAAAAAATCAGAAGGAAAAATTTATTTCTCACAATGTATGAGCTGTCTGTTTCTTTATCGTAGAGAAAAAAAGAATCAAGGCATTCGAGACAGCTATTAATTATGTGGGATGCGATTAATTGTGTGGGATGTTTTGATTTTTGGGGTGTCTGACACGGAATAATCCCTGGGGAGTTGTTTTCCAGATAAAACATAGAATCTGTGGGCATGTGCCAAGTGGTGTCCCCAGACCTGCAGCCAAGGCTGAGGATGGTCCCAGTTTTGTGCTGGGCTGCAGGGTGGAGCTGGTGGCGCTGGTGTGCCGGGTCAACGGAAGGGTCGGCCCCAGCCCAGCAAGGCACAGCAGGGAAGGGCACCCACCATGTTATTTTGGCTGTGGTTGTATAACATCACTTTACCGTGACCTGCTGGACCATGCAGGCTCCCTAATGTCTGTATTGTTACTACAACATGTGTTTATGCACAAACAATGATTTCTGTTTCTCTCATGGTTGCATTACGTGCTGGCAGCAGTGCTGCTTTCTGGGTGCCACTGCCTGTGTTTTCCACAGGCCCTGCTTCATCAAGTTAAGCCAGAGGCTGGGAAAGCCAGACTCTGAGCCACGTACTGCTTAACCCCACACTTTTATCCTTTCATGGCTCTTTATTTCCATGATTTAATTTCTCCCCAAAGAACTTGATTCTGGCTTTCAAATAAAGATGAGCTTTCTAATAAGTACTATTCTCGCAGTCACTGTCCTTTTTAGAAATAGCGGAAGCACTACGATTATTGCATTGCTGTGTAACACTGGGAAGTACCAAATCCTGAAAAAGTACTAAGCATCTCACTTGAGCTTGATCAAAACCCTAACAGCCCCTCTGTGAGGCACACTGAAACATCAGTGAGGTGCACATGCTTGACCCTTGCTGGAACGTGCTGGGGGGCCACAGGGCCACAGCATGAAGGTGAAGTGCTGTGGGGACAATCCCCTCCTGGCTGATGTGGCCGTGGACAGAGCTCTGTGGTGTGACTGCCACAGGCCAGTGTCCAACCATCACTTTGGTTTTCACTTCCAGCAGGTGACCAGCTCCATTGATGTGACAGCCCACATGCTTCTGGTCCCTAGTGGGTCTTCTTGATGAGGTTTTATAAAAGTGATGATCCTTGAACCGTGTTTATTCATTTATTTGTAGAGAGGCAGGCAGTCTGGGGGAAATAAACAGAAGCCTTCCTTGCTGAGGGGAAGGGGAAAGGCAGGTTTTTGACACACTGCTTCCAATAGGTCCTTATTCTGTCTCTTTAATTGTCTCAGGGGGCTGTGCTGGAACAGCTGCAGGTTGTTTACAGCAAGATGATCAGGACTATATCTTCTGCAGGTGGCGAGGGAGCTGCATTGGGATGAGAAGCTGGGAGAATGTGACCGGAACAGGTATGGCAGTGGGCTTTTCTGAGCTTTTTGGGCTGAAGAAAGAGCAGGAGGTGTTTGTAATGCATCTGGTTGAGCTTTGTGAGGAGGGTGACATGGGCACGTTGTATGTGCTGGTGCTGTGTTGTTCTGGCTTCTTGCTAGGAGCTGCAATGGTATGTAGGGAAAGAAGTGTGGAATCACTGGTGAAGTCAGATGCCTTTGGTTGAAGGAGAAATCTTTGCCGTGGGAGGGAGTGACACCCCTGTTTGGTCATAGAGCTGTCCTGCTGGGGATGTGGACTGAGGGAAAGAGACTGAGTTAGGCTGTTGCAGTGACAGTTTTTTCCCCTCCTTCATTTAAGTAAATCTTTCCTGACCATAACTTAGGGGAGATGCTTGGCCAAAAATCTAGTGTGTTTTTTGGGAATTGCTTGTTGATTGGTTGTGGAAATGGCACCGGGATAGATCCTGAACTGATACAAATAGGTTCATTGCCTGTCAAGTCACTGTATTTCTCTCATCCTCCAAGTCCTGGGCCAGCTCCCTGCTCCTCCATACTCTCTGCTCATGCTTTCTGTGCCACTGTTCCCACACAAGGGCCTTGCTTGCTCCTTCTGCTTCTCCCTCTCCTCCCAAGTTCTCAAGCATCTTTATTTGCAGTGTGATTTGCTCAACTTTCTTTTTGTGTTTTAATCCACTTCAGTCTGTCCCCTGGTCCTGCCTATGCTCATCATTGCCCGTATCTACCTTGTTTTGATTGCACGTTCTGTGGGACAAAGTGCAGTGATGCCATTTTTTGGATAATTAAATCCTCCTGGTTGTGGTTCCAGTCACTGGGACAACTCGTGCTGCATCGTGCAGGAGGATATAAACTGCCTGGATTTGCATGCAGAGTCTGTCATCTGCCGTGAATCATTTTGGGATGCTTTTGCATGAGTGAAGCTGTTTAAAAATAAATTGTATTGTGTTAGACTAATGGAAGATAATAAATTTGTCTGGTCTTTTAGTTTAAAATTCATCAATGTCTGGAGCTGGAAGGGGGGAAGGAGCTGGAGGACATAAACCCATTGGGCAATTAATGGCCAGGAGCTTGGCACTTGCCAGGCTGCCATGATGCCCAGCAGTGTCACAGTGCCCTGACAGCAGGAGGACAGCACAAGCATTAAACACTTCTTAAAAAGGCAAAAACTACAAAAAAACCCTCCCGCTTTTAAACATCAGTTAACAAGATATCCCTTAATCAAAGTCTGTTCTAAGTGGTACTGTGCAAAGGGATTATTGCAAGATCAAAAACCTTTGAATTATTGAAGCCTTCAAACCCTGATGGTATTTGCTATCCCCTCCCTGTCCCCCATGTTACAACAGGGAGAGCCCTTTTTTGTTGGGCATAATTTCCCCAGGATCAGCTCTGCTCTGATTTTGGCCAGCAGTGTGGGAGAGGGGTTGCAAACTCAAGCCCAAAGCTTGTGCAGACTGTCACTGGGCAATTCTGGGGAGATAGCACACAGAGTGTGTGACCTGTCTCTGTGCTGCCTCGCTGGTGTGACAGGGACTCTGGGACAGTGCCCCTTGCAGGGGGTGCCCCATCCGGGCCATAGGGATACTGCAGGGAATGAACTTGCGGTGGGGTAGGAAAAAGCACACCAGCTGTAAAGTCAGCTTTGTGGTTATTTCTGGCCATCATCACCTGCTCTGAGCACCAGTGTCCTATGCCCTGTCCCCTCATGTCTCTGTCCCCCAGCATATGCTCTCTCTGGTTTCCCACTATTAAACTGCTGGTGCCTGTATGGCATCAGGTGGCTCTGGCATTTCTCCAGGACAGCATTCCTGTGGCCTGGCCCAAGGCTGTGGCAGAGGGTCCTTGCTCTTGTTAAGGTCCAGTGGCTTTTCCCCTCAGCCCCCCTGCTGATGCCTTCTCGTCCCGGTGCGGTTGTAAATTTGGGGTGATTCTGGCGACAACTGCAGAGTGAGGCCTGATTGGAGCCCACATAAGTAGGAAGTGAGGTGAAAGTGAGACGTGAAGGGAAAGCAGCTTGTTAGTAGAGCAAATAATTCACAATGAATAATTTCTTCAACAAACACATTGTTTGGATATCTATTTTTGAATACCTGCAAAGGGGCTGTGCAGTTCCTGAATCTGCTGGTTTGCTTTCTTTCTTTTTGGTTCGGGATGTGTGAGAGTGTGCTGGCTGTGTTCAGGCTGTCCTGGCCAACTGCAATGGCTCACACCAATTGCCACACTGTTACCTTGCCTGAGTACCCCAGTGCTCTCCCTCTGCCCAGCCATGACAAAGGTCCTAGAAACATCCTATTTCCATGAAAATATGGCCAATGCAAAAACACTTGTGTGGACAGGCTTAATATTCACCTAACACTGTGTAGGCAAACCTTGTTCTTTGATGGAAGACGAAGAAAATAACTGCTCATGTTTAAACTCATCTGAGTGTTTGAGACAATGACCTGGATGCATTTTCCCAGTAGTTCTTATTTTCTTACATCTGACCCAATACAACTGTTAGTTTTCCTTGAAATCTTCAGTGGCGCTCAACTGGGGAAACCAAGAGTGTAATTTATGGAAGGAAAAGTGCAGCAGATAGATGTTTTATATCCTGTGAGGTACTCCTGCCACTTAAAAGATCACTTAATGAATGGAACTTCCGGTTGATGTCATTTGCTGGTTTGTTAGTGGCTTCTCCCAAAGCCTTGCTTTGAGGAAAAGTGTTTTTAAGAAAAAAGTGTGTGTATGATCTGGCCTCTGCTGTTACAAGTGGTGAGGCTCAAGGCCCTGGAAACTCAGCTCCATTGTTGCTGGTAACATGATCTAGCAGCACCCTGGAAGCTTTCTTCCCTCACACCCCCAAAATATTGCATTTACAGCAGGAGGTAAAGCCTGTGAGAAAGCTGCAGGTAGAAACAGATAGTGCTTTGAATTGCTGTTGCCTTGCTTGCATACAGATCACTGATGGGGTTGATCTGGCCAAAGCTAACTCTGCCCATTGATGCCCACTCTGTCCCAAATCAGGGTCCCAAGGAGGCAACTTGGGCAGGTGTTCATTCAGCAAGAAGGTGTGATGTGTGTGTGTATGCTGATGGCTGACTACCCCAGGCAAGCAAAATAAGCTCAGATTTTATCCCCATCAGCAGTAGCTCAAACCAGTACACCTTTTCTGTGGCTGGTGATGGATGGCTGATGCAGCAGTAGGCTCCAGGGCTGCCTTCCTTGCTGCAGCTCTGAGAAGTGGAGTTTGGGATTAGGTGGAATTAGGGATTTATCCCTCAGCATTCTGCTATAAACCTGCCTCTTCTCATGGTGCCTCTGCCAAGTTTTGCAGGGATTTCTTGCAGAGTCACTCCTGGTGACTTCTCTGTTGTAGACCACCAGCCAGTGGTGTGGCTGCCCCCTCCCCAGTGCCTCAGCAGCTCTCCCAGTGCGGATGTGGGGCACAGGAGCCACACCTGGGGCTGTGCTCAGTGCTGTGCAGCAGGTTAATCTGAACCTGCAGTAGGATCGCTGCCCTGGTAAATCACACTGCTCAGGAGTTCACTAGATCAACTTTCTAGTTATCCTAGGTCTTTTAAAGGGCTCTTCTTTTTTTTTATTATCCAATTAACTATACTTGTTAATACAAAAATTTCTTTTATATAAAACCGAGCAAATTTTTTCTCTGCCTGGAGTGACATAAATAGAACTTTTCATATATAGCTTCAGTGTCCTGGGACTGATTTGTGGATATATATTGCTGCTTAGAAAGACTGTAATTTACAGGTGATTGTTTGGAGGACTTCAAATTACCACCACTCATATATATGGATATATAAATAAAAAATGAAGCTTCTCAGGACATTCTACATAAACAATTTTCCTGGGAAGAAAAAGGATTCTCAATAAAAATAATAATAAAAAACGGCAAGTTTTTTTTATATCTATGCCTCTACATAAAGTAAGGGTAGATTACTTCAGTCTTTCATTTTTATTTCAACATTTCTGGACCATTTCCTCCAATATTTTATCTTTTTTCTTCCATCACATATAAATAAACTCCTCTTATATTCCACTTCTGGTGGAACTGGCAGGTTTGGGGTCTGGAGGTAGCAGAAACCCTGCTGCCCAGCCCTGCCTGCCTACACTTCCTCCAAGAAGAATAGGGATGGGAAGGATTACCTCCAGCTGCCTTAATGAAATATCACTTCAGCCTCTAAGTTTCTCTCACAGAAAAATACATACATGCACAAAGAGAAATACTTTTGGAAGCTGCTTGTGATTTTATGGCCCTGTTGCTGGGAGCTGCTGACAGTTTCTGCTCTCAGCAATCAGGCTCTCTGTTAAAGCTGGATGTACCATAAAGTCACTATTTCACTTTGGAAGATATTTCTGTAAAGTTTTTTTAGCTTTCCTGGTCCAAGACAGAGCCATGGCTCACCCAAATCAGGATCAGGGGTCTGCAGGAGCGGCCAAAGGGCACATCTGCAAGATGAGCCCTGAAGCAGCACCACTGAGCACCCAGAGCTGTTTTTCCAGCCTCCAAATGTCTGTGCTTCAGAAGCAGCTGTGAGAGTCATACTGTAAGGTAGAGGGATCTTTTCTGCCCCTAATTTATCTAGTTGCCTTTTTTTTTTTTTTAAATTCTTATAATCTTTGAGGCATCTGCAACACCTATTCCATGGGTCTGTGATTTTTTTTTTTCCAAAGTTGTAAACAGATTAATGCAAGTTTAGATGACTTTATGTGACCTGAAAGTAGATAATTTAGTGGTAGTTAATGCTCCTTCTTCCCCAGTAGAAGAGGGGCTGTTTTTAGTCCCTTTATTAAAGCAAGCAACAAAGTCTGCCTTCAGCTTCCAGCGTGCACTTCCAACATAATTTAAGGGCTTAAAGATGAACACAACTTGTGTGGAGGAAAAGGGATGTCAAAGTAAAAAATCCCATGCTTTTAATTGAGATTAGTTGATCCATATTCCATTACCAAATCCTGTCCCGTGGCTGCTGTTCCTGCACAGCCGGGCAGGATTTATCAGCCTTGGT